AAGCACATACTTAAGAAGCATGCCAGGGTGCTATAAGAACATTCTCAGAAAAATGCCCATTTTTTTCTTTCTTTTTTGATGAGGCAATTGGAGTTAAGTAACTTGTCTAGAGTCACACAGCTAGTGAGTGTTATGTGCCTATGCCCAGATTTGAATTCAGGACCTCCTGACTCCGGGGCTGGGCTCTATCCTCTGCACTACCCAGCTGCCCTGAAAAAATGCCCATTTGAGAGGGACCAGGGGAGTCCTAGATGTAGAAGAATTTTTCAACTCCATACTACTTAAGAACATGGGCAGCTAGGTGGCATAATGGATAGAGCAGCAAGTCTGGAGTCAGGAAGACCTGAATTCAAATTTGGCCCCAGACACTTACTGACTATGTAACCCTGGGCAAGTCACTTAACTTTTTTTGCCTCCCCATCTATAAAATGAACTGGAGAAGGAAATGGCAAACCATTCCAGTATCTTTGCCAAGAAAACCCCAAAATGGGGTCACAAAGAGTCGGACACAACTGAACAACAACAATACCTAAGGTTAGGGGAATCAATTTCTCAGTTAGAAAGCTTAAGAAAAAGGCATGATTTCCAGATAATAGGTTCATAGATTTAGAGCTGGAAAGGACCTCTTCCAACTATTTCATTTTATAGATGAGGAAACTGAGGCCCAGAGAAATGAAATAACTTGTCCAAGGTCAAATATTAGCTAGCAACAGAAGAAAGGTCATTTCTGTGGGAGGTCTCAGACTCTGCCAATCAATTACATTAACCTGGAGCAGCAAGAGACTAAGCAAGTCTAAGTGTCCCCTGGAGGAAAAGGTCATAGAATTTAGTTATCAGGGCTCTCAGAGACCACCTAGTCCACCTTTTTGTTTTATCAATTAGTAAAAAATGGCCCAGAGTGGTAAGAGTAACTTGCCTAAGGACATACACATAAGTAAGTAGTTTAGGCAGAATCTGAAACTAGATCTTCTGACTTTTCTGCATTGATTCTACATTGTCTCCTCAGTTTAAAAAAGGCAATGCTCAAAGACTGATGTTCTTGGTGGATATGTGAGCTATGCCTAGTTTCCTTGTTTGCATTGGTATTAAAATGCTTAATGTCTGTAGCTTTGGAGTATCCTGCTTTTCTCAACTCAAACTATTTGACACTATTACGATATCAACATCTTGGCTCTACCGGTATACCAAACACCTGATGCACTATTATCAAATACATTTACTAACAGGTGGCTCAATGGAGAGTTGGACTTGGAGTCAAAGAAGATCTGTGTTTGAATCCTGCCTCAGATGGTTATTAGCTGTTGACCTTGGGCAAGTCACACTCTCTCTCAGCCTCAGTTTCCTTACCTGTAAAATGGGGATAATAAAAACATCCACCTCAGGGTTGTTGTGAGGATCAAATGAAATAACATGTAAAGTGCTTTGTAAATCTTAAAGTACTATATGAATGCTAGCTGTTATTACTGCTATTACTCTCATCATCATCATTATTAAATGCTCTAAAAAACACTATGCTTGCTTAGAATGCCATTTGCTCCAGTGATCATTGTTTAAATCAGTAGGGAAACTGACAACCCTAGAAAAGTGCCTTTTAATCATTTCCTTGCCACTGATTGAGGAGCCAAATATTTAGAAATATATTAAACTTTTTTTTCCACAAAGCCAATGCAACCAAGATTAGAAGGAAAGTAGAAAATTGGGAAAGAATTTTTACAACCAGTCTCTCTGATAAGGGCCTCATTTCTAAAACATGTAGAGAATTAAGTCAAATTTATAAAAGAATACAAGTCATTCCCCAATTGATAAATTGTCAAAGGATATGAACAGGCAGTTGTCAGATGAAGAAATTAAAGCCATCTGTAGTCATATGAAAAAATGCTCTAAATCACTATTGATTAGAGAAGAGCAAATCAAAACAACTCTGAAGTACCACCTCACACCTATCAGATTGGACAACATGACAAAACAGGAAAACGATAAATGTTGGAGAAGATGTGGGAAAATTGGAACACTAATGCATTGTTGGTGGAGTTGTGAAATGATCCAACCATTTTGGAGAGCAATTTGAAACTATGCCCAAGGGGCTATAAAAATGTGCATACTCTTTGACCCAGCAATGGCTTCTAGGGCTACATCCCAAAGAAACCATACAAATTGAAAAAGGACCCACATGTACCAAAATATTCATAGCAGCTCTTTTTGTGGTAGCAAAGAATTGGAAATTGAGAGGATGCCTATCAAGTGGGGAATGGCTGAGCAAGTTGTGGTATATGAATGTGATGAAATACTATTGTGCTATAGGAAATGATGAACAGGCTGACTTCAGAAAAACCTGGAAAGACTTGTATGGTCTGATGCTGGGTGAAATGAGCAGAACCAGGAGAACATTGTACACAGTTACAGTCATGTTGTATGATGACAAACTTTGATAGACTTAGCTCTTCTCAGCAATGCAAGGATTTAAGGCATTTCCAAAAGTCTCATGATAGAAAATACTATCCATATCCAAAGAAAGAACTATGGAGTTTGAATGCAGATCGAAGCATACTATTTGCTATTTTTTCTTCTGCTGTGTTTTGTTTCCTCTTTCTGGTGGTTCCTCCTACTGGTTCTGATTCTTACAACATCACTAATGTAAAAATATGTTTAATAGGAATGTATATGTATAGCCTATATCAGATTGTTCACCATCTTGGGGAAGGAGGTGGGGAGGGAGGGGGAGAAACATTTAAAACTCAAAAGCTTATGGATGGGATTGTTGATAATTCAAAATAATTAAAAAACAAAAAGGAAACAAAAAAGAATTATTAAACTTTTAGCCAGGTACCAATAAGCATCACAGCAATGACATTAGGAATACAGGACAAGAAAGAAGCTGAGTCAAGCTGTGGTGAATAAGAATATAGAGGCTCCAAGAAAGCATACAGAATAGTTAGTTGGAAAGCCCAGCTTATGAAACTAAGGAAAGGTTAATTTTACACAGATAAATGGGTTGGGAAGGAAAATGGTGGGTTAAAAAAGCTCTTTGGACATGTGTTTCACTTTTATGTTCTAAGATGAAGTGCCTAGTCCAGAAGTGAGAAACATATAGCCTTTAGTGATCCTCAGTGAAAACTTTTAACGTATTCATTTAAATAACATATTTAAGAGAGGCATCTGAGTGTAGTGGATAGAGAGATCTGGCCTGGGAACCAGAAAGATCTCAGTTTAAATCCTTTCTCTGACACTTGGTGGCTATGAGACCCAGGGCAAGTTATTAAGACTATAAATTGCAGAAAAGATGCCAACCTGCATTGGTAGCGGGTGTTTCCAGACCCCAAAGTTCCCTGTAGCAATGAACTCACAGGTAAAGTTTCCATTTCCCTCTAAATGAACACAACTACAATGCAATTTTGATCATATCATAATATAGTCTTCTATCAATATGCATCTGTGATTGCATATGACAGACACTCATTCAGCCAGTTGAGGCTGAAGGCACCAGTCCTGGAACCATATCAAGTTTAGTTCACAGTGAACAGATGCAAAAAACAAAACATTACATTGTTTTTGCTTTTGATCATTAAAAAAAACTTGGTAAATGTGAAGAAATGAAACTTTTTTGGTTGTTGCTCACTTTTGTACATGTGGGAAAGATGTGATTGCTTTCTCATGCTGCAAACTTAATTTTGGCTGTCCATGACAGTCTGGCCTGACCAGAACACTTCTTCGGGTAGTTTCTTTTGCATTTCTTATGAAAAAAAAGTTCCTAACATCTTGCCAAATATAATAAAAGCTTAGTGATTTGGGAATGTATGTGTGTGGAATGTTTATGTTAATTTCCAGTCCTTGTGCTGTGAAGACGAAGAGATGAAACAGGAAAAAAGTAAATAATTGCCAACCATTTATTAATTGATTTCCATAGTCCAATTATTTCAACAAGAATGTCCCCAAGATAGTATCAATTAGCCTCAAAGGGTTATGGGTTGATGGGTCTTGTCCTAGGGCCTAAGGGTACCTGCACAGTCATCCACACATTTTCCACTACACATTTGCCTTTCCCAACACACTACCTCTCAATAACTCTGGCAGGTTCCAGGTACCAATCACTAAGGCAGATCTTCAGAATTTTCTGAGTTGGTTTCATATCCAGCTGAAATTCGCAGAGGTGCAAAGATCTACAACCCCATCAAGGACTAGGGGAAAGAACTAAGTACTATAGACTATACTAGATATCTACTTTTAATTAAAAAAAATTTTTTTTTGAGTTGTGGAGCTTTTAAAGAAACACTGATTTTGCTTCATGAGCTTGCTTGTAGTCTTCTGGCTATTATGATTATTATTATTATTATTACTATGATTATTATTTTTTGGAGGAAGAGTCCTAAATCCAAGTCTTCTTAGTTCTTAAATTATCAGAGTTCAGGTTAACCTCATATTTTAAACATTTATTCCAATTATGGGCTGCCTTCACAAGTGGACTGTCTAAAACAGCCTCCTTGAGGCTATATAGTTACAAAATTGCAATGAAGCCTTAGGGCTACATTGGGGGTGACTGTCACCCAAGATGGCATCTGGGTTGACGTAAAGTCGAATTTTGTTTGTTTCAGAGAAATCTCACTTGCAGGAGCTTTGGAAATTGGCATCTCTTCAAGCCCAATCGTGTCATCCAGGGAGGAACCGAAGATCTTGATTCTTGTGTTAGCTCTGACAACCGATGATCAGGCTAGTGCCCCCCAAAGTTCATTAAACCAAAATATTGTTTCTTAATGAGCACCACATCTGCATCAATGAATGAAGTCATTCTGTAGCAAAGAGCTACAAGAAAGACTGAAGAAAGAAAAAAAGATAGTTTAAAGGGTGGTTTTTTTGGGGGGAGAGAAACCTCCTCCCATTATTTTGACAGAAAAGAGTTTTCCCATAACCAAAAAGAACTTGTGCTTGATCAATTACTTGGTACACGGTGTTTCCATGTCCTGTTGTCTAAACTCTGGTAAGTGATAGGACTTTGACAGCTTCTCCTATGGTCGATATTGGGAACTTTGCTCTTGAATATATTCATACAGTGGGCTGGAACGGACAATTGGTTTAGAAATTTGACGTGAGCTAAATTCCTGGGCCTGCCTACGACTCTTGTCTTCCTCCCTGGACTGCCTGTCTCGGAGCTGGCCGCGCGTTTGCGAGTCGAACTCTTGACGGTACCGCTGCCCTTCTAGCTCCTGTTTGCGCTGCTGCTCGTCGCGAAATTTCCTCTCTCGCTCCTGGCGCCTCTGCTCCTGTTCTAGCTCCTGTCTGCGGAGCTGCTCCTCGTCACGGAATTTCCTCTCCCGCTCCTGACGGCGCCTCTGCTCCTGCTCTGGCTCTTGTCTGCGGAGCTGCTCGTCACGGAATTTCCTGTCCCGCTCTTGGCGCCTCTGCTCCTGTTCTAGCTCCTGCTCTGGCTCTTGTCTGCGGAGCTGCTCGTCACGGAATTTCCTCTCCCGTTCCTGGCGCCTCTGCTCCTGCTCTGGCTCTTGTCTGCGGAACTGCTCGTCGCGGAATTTCCTCTCCCGTTCCTGGCGCCTCTGCTCCTGTTCTAGCTCCTGCTCTATCTCCTGTCTGCGGAGCTGCTCCTCCTCACGGAATTTCCTCTCCCGTTCCTGGCGCCTCTGCTCCTGTTCTAGCTCTTGTCTGCGGAACTGCTCGTCGCGGAATTTCCTGTCCCGCTCCTGGCGCCTCTGCTCCTGTTCTAGCTCCTGTTCTAGCTCCTGTCTGCGGAGCTGCTCGTCACGGAATTTCCTCTCCCGTTCCTGGCGCCTCTGCTCCTGTTCTAGCTCCTGCTCTAGCTCCTGTCTGCGGAGCTGCTCCTCCTCACGAAATTTCCTGTCCCGCTCCTGACGGCGCCTCTGCTCTTCCTCCTCTTCCTGCCGGAGGAGCTGTTCTTCCTCACGGAATCTCCTGGCTGGCTCCTGGCGACGTCTTTGCTCCCGCTCCTCTCTGTAAAGCTGTTCTGCCTCACGGAATTTCCTGTCTTGTTCTAGACGGCGTCTCCTTTCTTCTTCCACCGCTTGATGGAGGCTTTGCTCTTGTTCTTGCTCTCGGAGTTCTCTGTCTGGTTCCTGCCCGCGTCTCTGTTCCTCTCGTTGCTGACGGAGCACGCTCTCTTCCTCCCGAAATTGCCTGTCCCGGGCTTCCTGGGAGCGCCGTTCCTTACGGTATTGTCTGTCTCGCTCCTGAGGGTAGAATTCCTCTTCCTCCTGGAGTTGTCTGTCTCGGGCCTGGAGGACTCTTTTCCTTCTCTCTTGGTCCTGTCTGCGAAACTCCTGCTCCTCACGGAACTTCCTGTCTCCGCTCTGACGAAGTCTTTTCGTTTCTTCATATTCCTCTCGTTCCTCTGGGTACAACCGTTCTTCATCCAAGAATTTCCCGCCTTGCTCCTGGCGGCGTCTCCTTTCTTGCTCTCCTTCTTGTCGGAGCCCTTGTTCTTCTTCCTGGAAGATCCTTCCTCTTTCCTGGAGACGTTGCTTCTCCTCCTCTCGCTCCTGCCTGTACCTCCGCTCTTCTTGCTCGTCCTGATAGAGCTGTCTGTCCTGTAGCCGACGGGATTTCTCGTTCCTGAATGGTCTGTCCAGATCTCCACGACCGTACTCGTCGTCATTCTCTCCCGCGAGCCCGTCTCGGACTTGAGAATCTTCTTGCTCCCAGTCTCTCTGTGCACCCTCCCTACGTTTGGAGTAAAGCCTTCTGTTCCGTGCTTCATCTTCCTGGTGGGGGTGCCGCTGCCATTTCAGACTTCGGCTCTGGGTTTCCTCACGGAACGGCAGGTCACTCTCCTGTTCTTGGAACTCCTCGGTCTCAGGATATTGTCCGTCCCTCTCCTGAGGTCCTAGCTCCTCCTCCTCGCGGTATTGCCGGTCTCGCTGCTGCAGGCGAAGGCTTTTCTCCTCTCGCTCTTCCCGTCTCTGCTCTTCCTCCTCCTGGAGCTGTTCTTCCCCC